AGATGCAGGCACTTTAAAGGATCCTTCCGTCTCCATTCCTGTCTTTCAAGGGCTCAGATAGGCTTCCAAAATCAAGACAAGAGAAGGAGCGCCTGTTTTCCTGTGATCCCTCTTTTCCTCCCTTCTTCAAGGACTTCAAGAATTTGCACAAGAAGCCATTTCCAATATTGCACCGCAAACCAGAGATTTCATTGTCTGGGGACTGCACATTAAAAAGTGCTCTTGGCTTTGAAGTTTTTGTTTAATGGCTCTAAACTGAAAGAAAATGTTTTCCTATTACTTAATTCAATCATAGCAAAAAGACTTGGTAAAAAGCCCATGGATTTTGGCCAAAGTGTGACAGAGTTCCCTTTGTGTTTGCTTATCCTCTGCTGTCACACAGTTTAATTCGCCTCCCTTTATCTGGCATTCAAAACTTTTTTCAGCGACATTCAATAAAGTCCAGCGGCTGGAGGGAGCTGAGCACAAGGGAGGGGGAACTGGTTATTCTCCCCTTCATATTCTTCCCAATAGCTTTGGGCTTGGTCTGCATTCAGAAGGGTTAACTCCTTCCCTCCTGGAGCTAATAGATTGGGGTTCCATCCTCAAAGTACAGGAATACTTTAGGATATCCTTCTAGAATGGTCGATTGTCTAAGAGGAATAGCTCATTCATCTAAAACAAAAATAACTCATAGGCTTGATTCAGAAGGATTTCCCCAACTGAGCACCTTACAGATGTGTTGCTGTTTTATACCTCAGTTTACCTTCAACTAATATGGAAAAAACTTGGACAAGATGCATATTGTTGCTTACCAATATGTCTGGAAGACAACAGAGGGAGAAAGCTGTATAGAACAAGACCAAACTTTATCTTCATTCCAATCATACATCAATAATTTAGCCAGGAGGTATTGGTGCTATAGCAGCCTTTTTCTTGGACTGGTTATGTGGTACTTAGAAAAAAAAAATCTCTACATGGCTTTATTTTCCTGGCCCAACTTTGTCTTTAAAGAAAAAGGAAAGTGGAAAGCGCAGTTCTTGAATTCAGATATATTTATTTGAAAGGTTAAGTTCAGCATAATTTCTGGAACTTATTTCCAAAAAAGTGTTCTGTATGAAGTTGTGGGGAAACCTCATTTACATTTCTATACTGGTCTATGTCCAAAATAAAAGCAAGCAGGCATCTACACATAAAAAACAACAACATAAAATTGCAAAGAAGGTCTCCTTTCTTGAGGATTCTAAAAAGAAGAGGCACTGATTAGAAACTGTAATTGATCAGATCATTTCTGTGTAGATTTTGCATCAGACTGCATTCAGCTAAAGTAGTGCGATTCTGATTTAACAGTTCGTTTCAGGATCTAGAGTGTGCCTATGAACTAATAATTGTACACTCAACTTTGTTATTTGGTTGCTTTCAGTCTAGGTGCAAAACTCAATCCTACAGCTTTCTAATTCCCTTAGTAAGTCTCACTGTCCATTGGTATTTCTGTCATCTTTCCCATTTTTCCTTTAAAGCAATGGGTCCAGTCCAGCAATGTTACACTTTAAATCTCATTGATTTCAGTGGGAAATACTCAAATAGATAACTAACTTTCCTCTGGAAAGGGTGTTATTCAAAATTGCTGAATTATGGCCAGTGACACTTTACAACACTCTCTGTTAAAACTGGCACATTGCAGGGTTGGCAATTTTCAACAGCAAAGACAAGAGAAGGCAGATGAAAATACCAGAAAAGGCTTTAATTCAATTTCTCTTGGCTTTGAACTAAGTGCATTTTCTCCATTCACATTGTGTCTTCTGTTAATATGTGGATTTGATTTGATGTCCAAATATACCTAAAGGCTTGCTCCAAAACATAGTGCAGTTATTGTGTTTGGGGATACTAGTATGTAATGATCAATTCAGACCTGCCTGGAAAAAAGAAGGTGATTTTTAAAAATGGATTTCCATCCTTCTGCCAGCTAGATTTTGCTTAGGATCCAGTTGCTGTAGTATTCTAACAGTCCCTTCAGTTTCTCAAGACTCAGACATCTGGTGGATGAAATGTTCTTTTTCTGTATCTCTGAATCAGGACATAAGCATCCTTACACATTCAGGAGTGATGTCTAATACATTGATGCCCCCATGATGGCAATGACCAATGGCACTCAAATAATATATGCAATATCCATGTCAGGTCCCGCCCCCCCCCCGCCACCAAAAAAAAGATCTGCTTCTAAATACTGTGCATGATGGACAATATCTCCCTGGCCCCTTTTCATTGGTATGATATGCAGAAGAATCAGGTATGATTCTGAGTCTCTATTAGATAATTTTATAAACATCCTTTATTGGTTAGGACCTCCCAAAGTAGAAACCTGGAGAACAGGAGAGACAGACTAACGCTTATTTCTGGTACATAATGTCAAGGTGCTTCAACCTCACTGCTTGGTTCAGCTAAATAGACCAGCATTGTCAATTAGTGCATCAGTCCTAGCTCTCATTTCCATAGTTTAAAAAAATACACACTGGAGATACAATATTTGCATTTGTCTCTTAAGAATAAAATTGATCACTGTACAAATTCAATTCCTCGCCCCTCTTCTCTGAGATCTTACATTTGAATCTCCGTAATCTGTAGTAACTGATATCAAAATAATTGGTGGGGGTGAGGAGAGAAGTGTTTCTCCCTCTCTCTTTCTCTCCCTTTACTCATTGTTTGAATATGCCTGCTGAAGTAGCATCTTTTTATCCTTGATATGCAGAGAAGACATTCCTTGCTGAGCGCATTGCATTGAAAAGTTGGACGATTTTATTTTATGCAAACTAAATCATTTTGGAGACCTGATTCTGGAAATAGATGTAAAGGAAGATATGGAGAGGCTGGACCGCATTGGGAAGCATCCTATCATTGCAATCCCTTCAATAAATCAAGGGGATTCCCCCCTCCCCAGAAATGGAGGGTTCTCACCAGAGGAGAAGGCGCGCACAATTCTGTGGCAAAACTGTAGCTGTGGATTTCAGTGGACTAGCATCCCTTTCCTTAAATTGTTTTGTGTATTCCAGAGTTTTTGTTTTGAAGTAATGCTGCAAACCTTGTCGTCCCAAAATGTGATTACCTGGAAAGGAAGAGGGCTTCCTTTCCAGGTAATTTGGCTTCATCTCTTTTAAAAAATTGGCATGGTAGTCCCTCCAGGGATTAGCAGTATTTTGGCGTTACATTTTTAAAGCTATGGTGAGCCTAGGTAGGACCATCCAGATTTACATCAGTATTAACAGTGACGAAAGGATCTGACTCTTGAGAATGATTGCAGAAGGTTTTATTTTTTAAACCATTAATCTTCATCCCAGTTAAATAATGCTGCTAAAATTGTGCCATTTATTCTCTTGGACTTTGTTCTTATCCATTCTGTTTTAGATTCTATGGATTGTGTGCTCATGAACCTATCAATTAATTAACATATCATTTACTATGAAAATCAATTAATTAACATATCATTTACTATCATTTACATTTACTTGAAAATCAATTAATTAACATATCATTTACTATTTTGACAGATATTTATTTTAATACTGAATAACTTGCATAAACCTGAGTGGATAGACAATAATAAAACGAATATTTCCAAGGCAATTCCAAACAAAATACTGCATGTTAAATGTGACAGTTATTTACATTGAATATGTTTAAATATTAAATATGACATCAAAAAGTTAAAAATCAGAATACTGGGCTGTGATCAGATCTTAATAGCATTTATACCTCGTTCTATCATTTGGATTGAATTATGGCAGCTGGAATTTGACCCTCTCGCCAGGTAAGAGCAAGGGTAAGATTTTCATAAAATAAAATATCTGTTACTTTCTGCTTTGATTTTTAAATTGTGATGCTATCTGTCAAAAAGCATCTGTCATGCTTCCCTCACCCAAATTTTTACTTTAAAATGTAGGTTGGATATTTTGTTGATTATTAAATTGGTGAAACAAAATCAAGGTAGACTAATTATTGCAGAGGACTAAATTACTAAGTTTAGTTCAAAATAAGGTATGTTTCAATACAAATGCAATTTGGAAAAAGAGATCAATAGGAAATAAAAGAGGATAGAGTTTTTTATTTCCATTTTTAAAAAAAAAAACAACTGTAATTTTAAGCATGGATATTGAAAATTAGCAGGGCTCAAACATAAATAAATAAACATAGATCTCTCCAACTTTTTATAAAGGAATCTTCATCCAAATCTGCTATTTAACATCCACTTACTTGAAAATCAATTGCCAACAAAAGTCTTTAAAATTAGAAATGGATGGATTTTATAACCAAGCAATGACAGTTATGGTCTGAAGACATAGGCTTTCATGGAAGCAAATTCCATAGATTTGCCAAGTGTCTGTAGCATTGCTGGGAACGAAGATTGTTGATTTAGCTGCAGACCAGTTCACTTTTGCTTTCAACTCAGCATCTGATGAAAATGCTCTTCTTACCAGAGTCTATACATGTTTTTAACGTTGCAGAGTGTAACTCGGTCCTGGGGGGTGGGGGGTGGGGAGTGGATCTTGCACCTGTCCAATCTTCACAAAAGTCAACTTCCCAAGATTTAAGGTGTTTTGAAAACTCCACAGCAGCGCGTGGGAGGAAGCGGTAGGACCCGTCCGAAGGAGCAAAGCGCAACAGGAGCTGGAGACGAAGGAGCCAATGGATTAGCGGTGGGACGAGGGAGGAGGCGGCAGGGGGGAAGGAAGGCAGCCCAGAAACGTGGGTGGGGTTGACAAGAATGAGGGACATTGTGCAGCGCTTTTGGCGAACAAGGGGGCATAATGGGGGAGTGTGTAGCGGCGGTGCCAAGGCGCGGCACAAAAAGCCTATTGACGGGGGCCGGCGCAGCTTTCATCACATGGCCCCCAAAGACGCTATTTAAAGCGGGCCGCGCGGCCCTTTCAGCACCATTGGCGCTGGTCAGCGCCCTGCGAACAACTGCGCGGGCGCCGACGGACCCCAGCGAGGAAGGCGAGGACGAGGCTGGACGGGGCCGAGTCATGCCGCGCTCTTTTTTGGTGGACTCGCTGGTGCTGCGCGAAGCCGGCGGCAGCGACAAGAAAGGAGGCGTCTCTCCCGGCAGCCCGCCGCCCCCGCCACTCTTCCCTTATGCCGTGCACCCCTCGCATCCCCTGCACGGCCTTTCGGCTGCCTCCGGAGGCGCCTGTCCCGCCGCTCCCGCGTCCACGTCGGCTGCGCGCAAAGCCGGCCTGCTCTGCGTGTGCCCCCTCTGCGTGGTCGCCGCTTCTCAGCTGCACCCGCCGCCGCCGCCGCCGCCCGCCCTGCCGCTCCTCAAGGCTTCCTTTCCTCCCTTCGGCTCCCAGTACTGCCCTTCGCCCCTGGCTGCCAGGCAGTCTCCCGGAGGTTCGTCCGTCTCCAGCGGTGGCCACGTACCCGCCCTCTACCAGAGCGCCTACCCGCTGCCCGATCCCCGGCATTTCCACTGCATCTCCGTGGGTGAGTAGTTTTGGGGCGCGGGGCGGGCTGGGGAGCGACTGAGCCTCTCGCCAGTAGCTCAACGCGAAGCTTTTCGGCCAAGATCGATCGTCTCTCTTCTTTGGCTGGGAAGGTCGTTTTCCCTTGTCTAAATGCAACAGGCGCTTGGTTTGGCAGCTGGATTCCCGCCCTACACTTCCGAATAAAAGCGATTTCAGAATAGACGCAGGGAGAATGAAGTTGTTTTAAATGGGAGGGAGAGGAGCGCGGGAGCGGGACAAAACTGACCCTCTTGCCCAACATTTGGAAAACAAGAGATCTTAAAGAAAGTGATCTCAGCAGGGGGGAGCCCAGGTGACACACGAAGGGGTTCGGAAGCGGAGTGAGACGGGGTTGATATTCGACCACCAGGAATTCCGAGGGCCGCAGGCTAGAACAAAAAGTCCGAAAGCATCTTGGAAAAGATAGTGGCCAGTCACTTCTGTACCGTTGCCCCCAAACCACGGACACGTCCATAAATCCCCTAGGACTCGAGTTCGATTCGCCTTTGCCCGTTCGTTCCCTAGAAGAAAATTCAGCTGAGGACTGGGGTAATTTGACGTGCCGACCAAAGTCCATCCTTTCGCAGGTTAGAGGGATGGACTGCCGCACTGGGTGGCATACCTAAGTGGCAGTCTAGTCCTTGAAACGAAGTCCGGACTGCGGAAGAATTGGCTGAATCCAAACAGGGGCGTTGAGGATTCGGAGAATTGATGGGGTGCCTGCAACAGAGAACGGTGCCCGTCGCTTGAGGGTTAGCGGAGGGCTAGCTCCTATCTGCTGTCCTCCAGGGACAGCTTTCAAGAGGAGCAGATTCTAGACTTAGCACTTTCCCGCCTGCTGTCCCGAGAAGCAGTTCTGCACAACCTCTAAGGAGCGCAGTGCTTTGGTTTGTCATGCCAAGGGTATTTCCAAGAAACCCGCATAGGTTTGAAAGAAGCCAACCTATCCTGACCCTCCAACCTCCCCACACCGCCGCCCCCCCACCCAATTCGTAGAGACATTTTCGAGCGGTGACTTTGAGTAACCCGTCGGAGGGAGGTGAGACTGACCCGACCGGGATCCGCTGTAGGACCGTTTGTCATGCCCACCCAGCAGGTTAGACGAATAATCCTTTGCTGACGAGCCCTGTCCAACCTGCATCTCAAGAACGCTTGGTTGTATCCAGGGGTTTATAACTGCACTCTTGGCTAATCGCAGCAACGCTTCCTAGCACGATCGGTCTACAGGAGCGTGGCTCTGATGGTCTAAAAGTCATCCGCGCTAAGCTTCCCTACTCGCTGGTGTCCTTTGTGGGGAAGGGTTGGCTTGCCCGCGGGGCCAAATTGACTCCCACCTGCCGGTCTTGACTTTCCGCTTTGCCTCCCCGCAGACAGCACGTCGGGCCAGCTGCCGAGCAGCAAGCGGATGCGCACCGCCTTCACCAGCACGCAGCTGCTGGAGCTGGAGCGGGAATTCGCCTCCAACATGTACCTGTCGCGTCTGAGACGCATCGAGATCGCCACCTACCTCAACCTCTCCGAGAAGCAGGTGAAGATCTGGTTCCAGAACCGGCGCGTCAAGCACAAGAAGGAAGGCAAGGGGGCCTCCCATCGCGCTGGGGGACCGGCCGCCCCCGGCTGTAAGTGCGCCTCCCTCTCAGCTGTCGCCAAGTGCTCCGAAGACGAGGAGGACTCGCCCGCGTCCCCGTCTTCCTTGGGCAAGGACGAGAGAGAACTCGCCATCACGCCCTAAAGTGTGACGCCACGGGCCCCGTCCGGTCTCCCGGAGATGAAATGGACAAGGGCGCTCCATAGAGCCGGTGTAAATAGCCCCGCTGCCCCTGCTCGCCACTAACGCGCTCTGTTCCAGAGCTGTCGGTTAAGCTTTTCTTCCTCGAGATTAAAGACGCTGTAACTAGCCATTGGAGGTTGACGCACATCTCCCTCTTTCTTTGAAGAGTAGAAGGAAGGGGGTATGGCCAGCCTGGTTTATCTCTGTCGGTGTCTGGGGGATCCCACGGGTTGGTTATCTCCGAGCCTGGCATCTCCCTCTCTCTCCCTCTCCCCTCTCCCTCTCCTTCCCCTCCCCTTCCCCCTCCCCCTCCCAGTCCGGGTTCTTTCCGATGTAAAATCTTGATCAGGGGTCCTCAAACTTGGCAACTTTAAGACTTGTGGACTTCAACTCCCAGAATTCTAGCTTCCCGCTTCCTAACAGGTTTTCCTTAGAAGCAGAAAGGCATTTCAGTAGGGAAGGCTGCGGCAGACAGCAATGGGTTTAACTTCTTGTGGGTTTCTTTTCTGTCCCCACCCCACCCCCGCTCCCCGCCCTCCTTAAGTCAAGTTGATGATCTTTCTTGAAATATATAATGGCACGGCTGTATTGTTTTCTGAAAAATCAGGAGATATTTATTTATTTATTTATGTATAAATGCTGGAGCAAAAATAAAGATTGTTGCTTTTTTAAAAAATAGAAATATATACGTACATTGAAGGTCTGGTTATGCTTTGGCTTTGCAGAATGTACTGGCTCTATCTCCTTGGATGACTCCCACTAATGTCAATGGGAAGGCTTGCAACACCTTTGACTTTCCTTACCAGAACCCAGAAGTTTTATTTCCTTCGAAGTTAAGTAATAGGATACTCAATTCAGCTGCCCCTAGGTATAGTTATAATTGGTTTTATTGGGAACGATAACTCTTCCCCACTCAAAACTGTGTGATGTAGTAACTCCTTCCTTGGCTTGGCTCCATTGCGCAGCATTGCTCAAGAAAGGGTGATTTCACTGGTGTTTCCTTCTGAGTAGATATTTAGGGTAACGCTACCTTAGGCAAGAACAGAAACATAATCTACCTTGCTGACAAAATTCTATGCATATTCTATAAGGGTGACAAACCAGGACGAAAATGGTAGCATCCACAAATGTTATAAAAAGCTGCTTATGCCTTTATGCAGCTCACAAAAAGCTTATGCGTTTGGATAAAACGTGTTAGCCCTGCCACCTGAACCCTTGATTTCTTGCTACAATAAACCAACATAGTTCCCCTTCTATGCTGTACAAGAGAAATATCCAGATTACATCTGGGTGCTTAGCTTTGTCTTGCTGTTTTGTGGTGAATTAAAGGATGATAAATATGACACATAATATAATATACTGCAGTTATCAACCAAAGAATCCGTACTCATCTCTGCAATTTTTCCCTTCTTTATCTAACATGAAGGTTAGGTAGATTAACAAGATCGACTATATCGAAGACAGCAAATGATGCTCATTCAATCATCTGATATGGCCCCTTCTTCTATGCAAACTTGGTTCTATTTTTAAAAAAATCATGTATACAGAATTAACTTTAAGGAATAAAAAGGGTTACGGTGGTAACGCTAAAAAATGTGCAGTGCTCTGCAAAGTACAATTTCCATTTCATACTCACTGGCCCTGAACAACCTGGCTACTAATCCTTCTGGGGCCACAACCTAGTGGGATTTACTCCCAAGTAAATGTTTCCATGGTTTTCAGTTTGCTTGAAGAGAGGGCATATAAAGAACCACCACAAAAGTGCTTCTCCCTTCCCCTCCAGGCATTCTGCTTGCTGGCCCCAGGAAAAAAAAACAGTTCCTTTGTAAGAATATGAAGGAAGTGTAATCATTTGCAGGGGGCTCTGATGCTACAATTATACTGGAGGCTTGCTTGTTAATGGCAGCCTTCATGCAATTGGCACGGAGCAACTGATTATCTGTGGTCACTTGAGCAAGGGGCTTCTCAATGTTCTCTCCTGTCAGAAATACACTGGGAAGGTTGAAGTTTGCACTAAAATGATCTGGACTTTCCTTTTCAGCTTGAGTGAGCTTTCCAACTCGGATCCAGGCACCCACCTAGGAGACTTAAGTCAAGAGAGTAGACAACAGTATCCAAAATCAGACTTGGTGACAAGTCTGATGACATCGTCCTGCCAGGCCAAGCAGCGGGGAGAAGGAGCTGAAGGTGCACACTCTATATCCTGCTGTGCAAGATATGGTGAGAATGGTCACTGAAGACTCCTCAGAGCACATGATTGGCTGTTTCCTTGGAATGTTCTAGAGCAG